AAAGGGGCCGCACTTTAGAAGGCTCAGGCATTGTCAAGCGCTTCACTGTTGGGCAAAGGCATGGTCTCCCCTCTCCATCAAAGAGGAAGATGAGAGGTAGGAGTCCTGAAGCATGAAGAAAATGGGTTCACATGAGCTGTCTAGATTAAAGGTGATTGTGGAATTTAAGGGCATGATGTAAGCAGACGTACAATCATAAACCCCAAAAATGTTAAAGGTCCGAATATAGAAATCAAGTTATAACTCAGATTCTCTTAGAGGAGCTGGGTTGTGACATACGCAGTGTACGGTCAGTAGCTCTATATGCTTGACGCACCTATACGAGCAAAGAACAAAGAGAGCTCTTATAGAGACATGCAGACCCCACCGTACAGACACGCCCAGCTCCGGACCCCACCTGGTCTGGGGTGGAGAGAATTGTGGGTGTTTACCTGCGGATCGGGTGTTAACATGTCGTGTGGCTGCAGAGTTCATTCAGGATCCTTTGAAATGGTGGCCATATATGCAGTGTTGCTGTTGTCCATTTCCATATCATGCAGAGCTGAGAATCCGTTACATGTTTTCCTATGTGCTGTGACCATATTTAGCTTTCCGTTGTCATTTTCCACCCCTTTGTTTCAACAGTTCCTCAACTTGTTATCCCCAGTTGAGTCACTGATTGCAGGAATACTGCAGCTGAGGTCTATCACCTTCCCTGGGGCCCTCACCTACAATCCCAGGAATATTTAGCACTCCACAGGGCGCAGAATGAAGCTGGCGTTAGCTGGAGGAGAAGTGGATCCCTCAGGAATACCAGATAGCAGCCTCTGGGTGTCAGATGGGCTGGTGAGAGGAGCTTATGTAGCGGTACCTGCCCACCTGATCTCCGGAGGTATGAAACCAACTTTGTCCCTACCCTGTAGGGTCCTGCTTGGAGCTGGCTAATGACATAGCCAGGCTTGACCTATGACCTTTGGCCTCAGCCTACATCTATGCTTTGGCATAGCCAGGCTTGACCTATGACCTTAGGCCCCAGCCTGCATTTATGTGATGGTATAGCTGGGCTTGACCTGTGACCTTAAACCCCAGCCTACATTTGTGGCTGGTGCCTTTACTGACTGACTGACTCAGGAGTCCAACTGAGCCCCTGCTATGAGTATTGACTGGATGGCATAGTCATGTAAGAAGTTCTGAGCTAAAAAGCACAGAGATAAGAGTGTATTTAATTAGCCTGAAGTACAAATATATGTGTGGACAACTTTTTTGTCTCTCTGTCAAGAACAACAGAGCTACAGAGCATAACCAACTTGAACTTGTCTCCCTTGGGCTTAAAAAGGTTGATCACTTGTAGCACAATATCAGAAAATTGAAACCACAACCAGGTATTTATACTGCAAAGTGTATGAAATGTTTGAAAATTTGTATGAAATACCTGTCCTACCATTGGACACTTTGTTATTTGTTGTTTTGTGTGCCTTTGTTCCGAGCATTCATTTATCTTCCATATCCCAAGATTAATAATATCAAATTCAGGAAAGGAGAATGTTTGAACATTCTCAGATTGTTTGTGAAGTTTCCTCTCCCCATATTGGGGAAATGTTAATATTGTATAACTGTATTTTACTGTTTGCAACTCAAATAAAGTTTTGTTTTTCACAAATACTGACTTGAAATTTTAATTGTTTAGGATTGTAGAGGGATTTATCATTCATGTGAGTACAAGTGAAAACAAAGGAAACTCTCAGATGCATGAAAAATCTTTTGGTCACAGTAGATGAGGAAAGTTACCCAAACATGACCCAGAACCATTTACGTAAGTGGGCCAAACATGCAAATTTGTGGTTGATATTTTTGCATGTTTTAAATACAATACAATTAACTCAAACTTGTGCAAAAAACTTTCACCTGGTGTTAAATCTGCTTGTAATGTAGAAAAGATCACAGGGGCAGTGGAAGCCAAATGGAACATGGATCAAACATGATCATCAGTTTAACACTCTCCCAACTGCCATATTCCAACAGACATGCTGAAACCTTGAAGTGTGTATTGCCTTCCACGATTGTAAATGGTAAATAATGTTGGAGGATTCCTAAGATTGTTTTATTTTTTATGTGCATGTGCCAGTCAGAGCATAAATAGTGATGAAATGGTTAAAAAAAACTAAAACATTTTGCATGAGACACTACCCCTTTAAGATTCAGCCAGGTGGGGGGAGTGAAATATGACAAAATATTACTTCCTGGGCAGGCAGGAACAAGAAAAAAAGGAGGGAAAAGAGTTTTGTGTGTGTGTGTGTGTGTGTGTGTGGAGCATACATTTATTTTTAGTCCAGCCAGCCAAATGTTCATTTTGGTCACAAATGGGAAAACATACAAAGTATGGATTCCCAGTAAGACCGAATTAACAAGATTTGGATGGTGTTTGATAAGAAAAACAGGAAAACTACGAATAAAATGGGATTCTGTAATCAGAAGGCCAGTTTACCTGGGACATACGCCTAGGCGGACAGGACTCACTAGTGACTTACCTGATGGAATCAGATGTTCTGAGCACAGGAAAAGAGCCTGATTGCTGTCAGGAAGAATGAATGTCTGAGCTTGGTTGGCAACTGACAGGGTTTCCCCTTCCCACCCCTGCCTTAATCAGAGGTCATGTACTGTGGGACACTGGTGACCTGGCCAAGTGAGGCACTGGCTCTGCAGAAGAAAAACAAAGGAGAGTACAGGCACTGCTGGGATTTGAACCCAGGATCTCCTGTTTACTAGACAGGCGCTTTCACCAACTAAGCCACGGCACCCCCATTTGTTGTCTCACTTATGCCATGTGGAAAAAAACACCTAAATTAATAAATGAACATGATGAGATGGGTTCCCCCACTCGATTGAGAGGATGTGGAGGAAAGTGCAGTATTTCTTCAGAGGCGCGACAAAACAACACCTCTACGTACACGCATTGCTGCCATGAGACAGTTTAATCTGTTGCAGATCACCGGTGAACTTGCAAAACCGCAGTCGCCCAACGTGGGGCTCGAACCCACGACCCTGAGATTAAGAGTCTCATGCTCTACCGACTGAGCTAGCCGGGCTAACATGGATGGCATTCAATTGCAATGACTCCATGGAGAGACTCATATATCTTTGGAATCGACCTTGAGCGTAAGGCCCGGAAGTGTGTGGAGGAGGGGAGGAGAGGGGAGGAGAGGAGAGGAGGGAAGGAGCAGATGCTAAGAAAGTTGGAACAGCTAATCCACTTCTCCTGCCAGCTACATGAGCAAAAGGCATTGCTAGCTGTATTCGTTGGAAGAGCAGTAGCTCAAGTGTTGCTTTTTTATGCATTGCACTCCAGGATCAATATCCTGGCTGCTTTTCATATATTTGGAACTTGCATATGACATAACCCCAACCATTGGCCAAAGGGGTCACTTTACATGTAACCCTAGTTATATGTGACTGTGGAGATGTGTTTCAAAGGTATCTGTTTTGAAGCGCAGCTGTTGTGGGTGTAGCTAAGGGGGGAGAAAGGATGCATCTTCAGACTGACTGCTCACTTGTTGCAAGCGATGTGTTCCGTGGTCAATGGCTGCTCCCTTGGGATTGATGGCAAACTTCTGTGGCAAGGTCAGTGGGCATTTGACTGAAATCAAAACCTCAGTTGCTGTGCGGGCAGTATTCTCACTCTAGCAAAACCTGTGTGGTGCTCATCCTCGTTAGTAATAGTGGTGAGTGTCCCTGCCTGTCACCTATGGGTTGGATTCCCCGTCGGAGAGAGCCTTCCTTCCCTTTTTTGTTTGAGCATAAAAAGTAACATACTACCACCAAAAAGGCATGGCCCGTACGGGGGTCGAACCCGCGACCTTGGCGTTATTAGCACCACGCTCTAACCAGCTGAGCTAACCGGCCAGTATGCTATGTCTTTTGTGTACTGGATTTGGAGTCCAGAGTGCTAATCGTTACACCATGGAACCCACAGGTTGATAGGGGGCGCCAATTCCCAAAAACTGCATCTTCTTGGAAGGTCATGCAGAGATCCAAAGGACAGAGGAGAAGGAAGGGCAAGCAGTGGGGAATTAGCTCAAATGGTAGAGCGCTCGCTTAGCATGCGAGAGGTAGCGGGATCGATGCCCGCATTCTCCAGAAGGTCCTTATCAGGATACCTCTTTTCCCATGCTCCACCAGCAGGGAGGCCTGCATGGTCCCAGCGTCATACAAAACCCTGCATGGGGGTAAAAATTTGTATGGGCTTCACCTCCAGGATTTTGCTGAGAGAGACACTCATTTAAGGACAAGAAGGACATTCCACTAGAGCCATATAAGAGATAGGGGATGCGTTCCAATACTCAAATTCCTTTCCTCCCCTCCTTTCCTCCGTGCCCCGGAAGCTGATTATGTGTCCTCCTTTCCTCCACTGTTCCAAAGCAAAATCTCGCCTCCTCCTTTCCTCCTTTCCCTCACTCGTTTCCTCCCCTCCTTTCCTCCACATATTTCTGGCATACTTCCGGGATAGGAAAGGAGGGGAGGAAAGGAGGAGACGAGAAAAAGTATTGGAACGCAGCCAGAGTGGGGTGCTGTAGCTGGGGTGATTGCTGTAGCTCAATCCAATCAGTCAGAGCTGAACACACTCCTGCTACCAGCACAGCTTGTGCTGAACACACTCCTGCTACCAGCACAGCTAGAGCTGAACACAGTCCTGCTACCAGCACAGCTAGTGCTGAACACACTCCTGCTTCCAGCACAGCTAGAGCTGAACACACTCCCACTACCAGCACAGATAGAGCTGAACACACTCCTGCTACGAGCACAGATAGAGCTGAACACAGTCCTGCTACATTATATGTCCTTGGAATTGACCTTGAGCGTAAGGCCCAGAAGTGTGTGGAGGAGGGGAGGAGAGGAGAGGAGAGGAGGGAAGAAGGAGATGCTAGAGCAGCTAATCCATTTCTCCTGCCAGCTACATGAGCAAAAGGCATTGCTAGCTGCATTAGTTGGAAGAGCAGTAGCTCTATGCATGGCACTCCAGAACATGGCCCGTACAGGGGCCGAACCCATGATCTTGGCATTATTAGCACTATGCTCTAACCAGCTGAGCTAACCGGCCAGTATGCAATGTCTTTTGTGTACTGGATTTGGAGTCCAGAGTGCTAATCGTTACACCATGGAACCCACGGGTTGATAGGGGGCGCCAATTCCCAAAAACTGCTCTCCCATTCTGCTGCTTCTTGGAAGGTCATGCAGAGATCCAAAGGACAGAGGAGAAGGAGGTGGCAGGCAGTGCGGAGTTAGCTCAAATGGTAGAGCGCTTGCTTAGCATGCGAGAGGTAGTGGGATTGATGCCCGCATTCTCTAGAAGGTTCTTGTCTAGGTACCTCTGTTCCCATGCTCCACCAGCAGGGAGGCCTGCATGGTCCCAGCGTCAAGCGAAACCCTGCATGGGGGTAAAAGTTTGTATGGGCTTCCTTCCACGCTTCACCCCCAGGATTTTGCTGAGAGGGACACTCATTTAAGGACAGGAAGGACATTCCACTAGAGCCATATTAGAGATATGTGCTGCGTTCCAATACTCAGGCTGCATTCCAATACCTTTTCTCGTCTCTTCCTTTCCTCCCCTCCTTTCCTACCCTGGAAGTATGCCGGAAATATGTGGAGGAAAGGAGGAAAGGAGGAGATGAATCGAAAGTTGGAACGGCTAATCCAATTCGCCCGTCATCAAAGTCGACGTCGGCTATTGATGAAGTAATAATTTCGAATGACTCGGAGGATACCAAAGCCAATCACGCTTCTCTAAGGCCACCAGCCCTGTTCCTGCATTAAAATATGAATGTCAATTTCTCGCATTCTGCTCATGATGTAACATAAGAATTTCTACAAGGAACAAATAAATTTACCACAACATAAACTCGCTCAATTTTAAATTGGTAAAATGGCCATTTGTATCTGAAAAACATGAATATATCGCATCAAAGTGGTTATGTTCGAAAACGCAAAAGTTTTCTCATTAATGTAAATTGCCCGATTACTGTTTACTGTTCTGGCACTAATATTTTGGTGTTGGTAAATCCCTTGTCATGTTTTAGAACTTTTCGATGGTGAAATATTCTGTGGGATGGTCATTTCATCTGACTGGTTGTGAGCACAGTGATGTCACGTAGAAATGTGAAAAGACTTCCACAGTAGGATACATTGATGTATCCTCCGTTTGGAGGAGATGAGAAAGGAGGAAAGGAGGAGGCGAGATTTCGCTTTGGGACAGTGGAGGAAAGGAGGACACGTAATCAGCTTCCGGGGCAAGGAGGAAAAGAGGGGAGGAAAGGAGGAAAGGAGGAGACGAATTTGAGTATTGGAAAGCAGCCCCCGATTCATCTCCTCCTTTCCTCCATGCCCCGGAAGCTGATGAGCAGAGGTCATGTACTGTGGGACACTGGTGACCTGACCAGGTGAGGCACTGGCTATGCAGAAGAAAAGAAGCATAAAGCACAGGCACCGCTGGGATTTGAACCCAGGATCTCCTGGTTACTAGACAGGCACTTTAACCAACTAAGCCAGGATGCCCCCTTTGCTTGCTGTGGTTTTGCCGTTTGGGAAAAAAACATGTAAATGAGAGGATGCAGAGGAAAGTGCAGTATTTCTTCAGAGGTGCAACAAAACACCACCTCTAATTGTATGCATTGCTGGCATTAACGGTTTAATGTTGCAGGTCACCACTGAGCTTGCAAAACACATACCGCCCAACGTGAGGCTCACACCCACAACCCTGAAATAAAGACCATCATGCTCTACCAACTGAGCTAAGTTTGTGTGTGTGTGTGTGTGTGTGTGTGTGTGTGTGTGTGTGTGTGTGTGTGTGTTTGTTTGTTTGTGTGTGTGTGTGTGTGTGTGTGTGTGTGTGTGTGTGTGTGTGTGTGTGTATGTGTGTGTGTGTGTGTGTATGTGTGTTTGTGTATGTGTGTGTGTGTGTGTGTGTGTGTGTGTGTGTGTGTGCTCCTTCTTTATTGTAGGAGTTTGGTGAACCGTGGAGGCTCTGGATGATCATGTACGACCACCCATCACTCCCCCTCAATCAAAGGGTGCGCTTTGGCACCTTTGCTCCTCTCCTCCCTTCCTCCACTCCCCCACCACTCATCTCCTGCCCGAAAGTATGTGGAGGGAAGGAGGAGATGCTAAGTACATTGGAACAGCTATTCTGCTTCTCCCGCCATCAAAATCGATGGTGTCTATCCATGAGTTATCTAACTTCGACTGATACCCAGCACACCCAAGCCAATCACGCTTCTCGTTTATTCTTAAATTTTCAGCCAGATTGTCAGTTACATTAAAACGTCATGGTTTCGTTTGAAGACTTTTTTTTTTCTAGTGTGGAGAGGTACAGGAGTGGTGCTAGTAATAAGATTTACGGTGAAGATACACAGGCAGTGTCGACGCCGGCCGCCAAAGCCGCCTCCATTCATTTTGAATGGGGACCGGCAAGACGCTCACGCGGGGAACGATGGGATTGCAGGCATCGAGCGGCCAACCGGCGGGGCGTCGAGAAGAAGTTTAAATCAGTGAACATTGACCCGGCCGCTTGAAAACGTCACCAAGCAGCAACCAATTGGATGTCACAACATCGCATTTTCACTTCGCGGGTACAGTCAAATGCATGAAATAAAACGAGGAGGAACTCATCGTATTTGCAAGATTTCCGACCCTGCTCTGCCGTTATACAGCTATAGTGACAGAATAAACATTACCTTTAAAAATGTGGCAGAAATAATCAGCGTTTCTGGTGTACAAATATAAATATGTGTAAACAGATCGCCAGAAAGATTAGCCTATGTGGTACATTGATATCGCCTTATGTACAATGACAAGGTTTTCAACGGATGTTTGACCTATCTGGTGTAGCTAGGCTATTGTTCCCCCTCAACATCATATAGCTAATTTGTAATTAGCCTCCAACATTAATCAGAAAACCAATGAATAAAATCTGCCAAAATAAGATTGTATCTCATACGAAAGATGCCTGGGAGAATTAATCCGAATGAAACAGAGCTGGTGCTTATTAACGTTCCATCTATTAACGTGATCACAAGAAAAACACTTTAAAGTACTTGTCGCTAACTAAAACAGTGATATTTTCCATGAATGCATATACAGTATATCAACAGTGTGCTGTTTACTTGTTTCTGGTTATCCGTGGTAGTGAATAAAAAAAATGATGACTCCTGAGTGACAACTGTACTAGACACGCCCACCAGTGCCGGGCAGTGGCAGGCAGCAGCGGCACCAAGCGTCTTCGACGGTGCTTGTGTGTCTAAGGAAAGCCGCCCGGAGTGACACCCTCCAAGGTGAAAATAATAGCTGTCAGTTATGTTGTATGCCCAAATTACATTTGTAAGTAGCGATGGCTATCCTGTCATGGTAGCCGGATGACTAGCTAGTGTCACACTGTCAGCTGGATCACTAGCTAGCTACCTAAAATTTACCTCAGAGAAAGACACTGACAGCTATATTAGCGAAAGACATTGCTAGCTGTATTAGCGCGAGCTAGCTTGTTAGCTAATGCTGCCAAGCGCTATTTTGTAGAAATTACTCAGATGAGGGAAGACATCAGTTTATCCAACGCTCAGAGATATTACAGTCTGACAACACACTTCGTATTTCAGTCAACAAATGTCGTATTTCTACACTCACAAGTGACTTGCCTGATGGAATCAGCTGTTCTGAGCACAAGAAAAGAGCCTGATTGCCGTTGGCAAGAATGAACAACTGAGCTTGGTTGGTGATTGACAGGGTTTCTCCTTCCCACCCCTGCTGTGAGCAGGGGTCATGTACTGTGGCAATGTGTCCAAGTGAAGCACTGGCTATGCAGAAGAAAAGGGCAAGAAGTACAGGCACTGTTGGGATTCGAACTCAGTATCTCCTGTTTACTAGAGAGGCGCTTTAACCAACTAAGTCACAGCATCCTGCATGCTTGTGTAGGTCTTGCTATTTGGAAAAAAAAACATAAAAGAATAAATAAAAACGATTATCAAGAGGACAAGGAGGAAAGCGCTGTACTTCAGAGGTGCAACAAAACACCACCCCTACTCTTCACATGGCTGGCATTGACAGATTAATCTGTTGCATGTCACCACTGTGTTTGCACAAAACACATCGCCCAATGGCTCCTCAGTGAGACATATATTTCCTTGGACTCAACTGTGAGCGCAAGGATTTTAGGAGGAGGAATAAATCAAAGCAGGTGGCAAAATACATGTGACATGGTCTCTGTGGCGCAATTGGTCAGTGTGTTTGGCTGTTAACCGAAAGGTTGATGGTGCAAGCCCACAATGCACGTACGATCGGACGGATTATTCACACTCTAGCAAAACCTATGTGGTACATATCCTCATTAGTCATCGTGGTGAGAATCCCTGTGGGTCACGCATAGGTTCGAGAGCCTTCCTTACCTTTTTTGTTTGAGCATAAAGTAATGTATTACCACCTAAGAGTCTTAGGCCAGTACGGGGGTCGAACCTGCGACCTTGGCGTTATTAGCACCACGCTCTAACCAGCTGAGCTAACCGGCCAGTGCATGGTAAGTATTCGGCACTGGATTCAGAGTCCAGAGTGCTATTTGTTACGATCGGACGGAGTATTCACACTCTAGCAAAACCTGTGTGGTACTCATCCTCGTTAGTAACAGTGGTGAGAATCCCTGCCAGTCACGCAAGGGTTTGAGAGCCTTCCTTGCCTGAGCATAAAAAGTAATGTACCACCAACAATGACGCTTGGCCAGTACGGGGGTCGAACCCGCGACCTTGGCGTTATTAGCACCACGCTCTAACCAGCTGAGCTAACCGGCCAGTGTATGATAAGTTTTCGGCACTGGATTCAGAGTCCAGAGTGCTATTTGTTACGATCGGACGGAGTATTCACACTCTAGCAAAACCTGTGTGGTACTCATCCTCGTTAGTAACAGTGGTGAGAATCCCTGCCAGTCACGCATGGGTTTGAGAGCCTTCCTTGCCTGAGCATAAAAAGTAATGTACCACCAACAATGACACTTGGCCAGTACGGGGGTCGAACCCACGACGTCGGCGTTATTAGCACCACGCTCTAACCAGCTGAGCTAACCTGCCAATGCGCTATGACACATCGGCACTGGATTCATAGTCCAGAGTGCTAATCGTTACACCAGAGAACCCACGGGTTGATGGCCATGGGGGGCGCCAATTCCCAAAAAGTGCTCTCCCATCCTGCTGTTTTTTGGAAGTTCGTGCAGAGATCCAAGGGCTGGAGAAGATGGAAACCAGGCAGCGGGGAATTAATTCAAATGGTGGAGCGCTCGCTTAGCATGCGAAAGGTAGCCCGCATTCTCCAGAAGGTCCTTATTAAGGATGCTGTTTTCCCACACTCCACCAGCAGGGAGGCCTACATGGTCCCAGCATCATGCTGGATTCAGAGCCCAGAGTGCTAATTGTTACACCATGGAACCCACAGGTTGATGGCCATTGAAAGGGGCAAGTTCAGGGAGGGCTAAACTCGCTCCTCCTCTCGCCTCCTACTTTCCTCCTTTCTCATTTCCTCCAAGCGGAGGATACATCAATATATCCTACTGCGGAAGTCTTTTCACATTTCTGCGTGACATCATTGTGCTCACGACCAGTCAGGTTAAAAGACCATCCCAAAGAATATTTTGATGGCTTTGGTATTGATTGGCTTTGGTATCTTCAGAGTCAGTCAAAATTATTACTTCATCAATAGCCGACATCGACTTTGATGACGGGGGAATCGGATTAGCTGTTCCAATTTTCGATTCATCTCCTCCTTTCCTCCACTCCTTTCCTCCCCTCCTTTCCTCCACATATTTCCGGCATATTTCCGGGGTAGGAAAGGAGGGGAGGAAAGGAGGAGACGAGAAGAAAAAAGTATTGGAACGCAGCCCAGGAGCTCATGTGTTGCTTCCTGTGCATTGAATTTGCGATGACTCGTTTTCATGTTTCAAAAATGGGGAATAGTTCAATTCCAAGATTTCATTCACAAATGCACATCAAGTGTAGGGGTACTTGGCATAAAGGAGTGTTCGTAATAGAGGCCTTGTATGGAATGTAGTTCTCTTTGTTCCAACAGGTCAGCCTGTAACCATTGGTAATGACTTTTTTAAAGAAAATTACTCATTTCTAATGCTCTCCCAACTGAGCTATTACGGCAGATACAAACTTGACATGCGTACTGCAACGCACGTACGATCGGAAGGAGTATTCACACTCTAGCAAAACCTGTGTGGTACTCATCCTCGTTAGTAATACTGGTGAGAGTCCCTGGCTGTCACGAATGGGTTCGAGAGCCTTCCTTGCCTTTTTTGTTTGAGCATAAAAAGTAACATACTACCACCAAGACATCATGGCCAGTACGGGGGTCGAACACGCGACCTTGGCGTTATTAGCACCACGCTCTAACCAGCTGAGCTAACCTGCCAATGTGCTTCAACATATCGGCACTGGATTCATAGTCCAGAGTGCTAATCGTTACACCATGGAACCCACGGGTTGATGGCCATGGGGGGCGCCAATTCCCAAAAAGTGCTCTCCCATCCTGCTGTTTCTTGGAAGTTCGTGCAGACATCCAAGGGATGAAGAAGATGGAAACCAGGCAGTGGGAAATTAGTTCAAATGGTGGAGTGCTCGCTTAGCATGTGAGAGGTAGCGGGGATCGATGCCCGCGTTCTCCAGAAGGTCCTTATTACGGATGCTGTTTTCCCACACTCCACCAGCAGGGAGACCTGCATGGTCCCAGCATCATGCTGGATTCAGAGTGCTAATTGTTACACTATGGAGCCCATAGGTTGATGGCCATTGAAAGGGGCAAATTCAGGGAGGGCTAAACTCAGAAAAGTTTTCAATCATGGGATAAGCAGAATAGCTCCATGTGCCACAATGGTTGTCTCACTTGTGAACAAGAGCAGGAGCTCATGTGTTGCTTTCCCGTGCATTGAACCCAGCATCCTGGGGCCTCATTTATAAAACTTTGCGTACTTTCGTGCCTAAATAGTTACGTACACCAAAACCTATGAGTTTGCGTACGCAATAAAAATCCTGATTTATAAAATTTGCGTATGCAACACATATGCATGTCTTCTGTTATAAATCACAACTAATCCTACAATTGTGCATGTGTGAACGCGCGCCACAACCACACCCTGAAACGCCCACATTTAAGCATATATGGTGCTCCGGAAGTCGAAATCAATTAAGATCTATAAATAATGTATAGAACAGAGCAATACATTTTAAATGCAATAATGACAGGGAACAGGAGAAACAAAGAAACTGCTAAAGAAGCTGTGCGATCGAAGCTTTAGTGTCCTAAACAGAGATTATAAAAATATAATTTCAGGTGGCCACAGCACCGGGGTAACAAATACAAAAACACCTTGCATGGCTGGAGGTTACCGCGGCTGTCAGTTTCTCAGGTATAGAGAGCCGCACGCAGATCAAAATAAATAAAAGATGGTCCGACATCAAGCTTGAGGCAAACAGACTTCTACTTGTCCAAATGCAAGTGTATGGGCAACGGGTGGCGGTATGGAGGGTGCCACCACTGAGCCCCGTCAATGAGTGGCTGGCTACGATTATCGGAGTTGATTTCCAACTTTACTTTTCAGAGTTCATCAGAGTGAACGAATCATAAAATGACCCTGGCCATCGTGCAACCACATAAACTAAACAATAGGGGTCATTTTAAGTGTAACCCTCGTTACACACAATCATTGGAACCTTACAAACGTCTGAAAACTGTCCTGTGTACTTTCAATTCTTCTGTGACTCTTGAACTCCTCGAAAAGATCAGATGAATCAGGACTGGATGGTTTGGCAAAGAGAATTTTCTGGCACTAGTTAGCTAGTTGTGGTGATAGCGAGACTGTAAATGGCATATGGTACATGCATGCCTGAATGTGCTCTCTCCCACATCACAGTGACATCCTTGCAATTCACCTTTGACTGAGCATGGATTATTTACGTTTTTCCACTGTTCTGCCAGGTATATTGTTCATTACGCTTGTAACTTTTGTAATGTCAATTCTGATAACTTTGTACTTTAACTTGGATTTGAAATCGTTAGCACGCCCAGATTTACAGTATGAATACAAACTGTTGCTAGGTGATGTTTCACACACTGCACACACGCCTAATTTTATTTTCATATTAAAGTGAATATAGGAAGCTACCTGTCATTGGAAGTGTCACTGTAATATTTTGCAGCATATATTTGGAAAATTCAGTGATGTTCTTGTGTTTATTTTTGTTTAAATCCTCAAATATATACTGGAAGTTAGCTAGTTATGGTGATAGGGAGACTAAATGGCATGTGGCACATACATGCCTGATCATGCTGTCTCCCACATCGTACTGACATAATTGCGATTCACTGGAGACTGTGCACAGATTATTACTTTTTCCACTGTTTTGCCAGGACATTGTTTGTAACATTACATTTGCACCTTTTGTATTGTTGTATTGTATTGTTGACCCACGTATTATTACACAGTATGTATTTACTCTTGCTTTTTCATCAAACCAAATGAAATCAGAAAATTCTGTAATAACACTCTACATTACATTTCCACTTGTTTGTAACATTCGGAAAATACTGTGCTTGTTGTGTTGCAAGATTTGGGTAGCTCGAAGGGTCAGGTCCTGTCGCGCAAAGCTGAAGTCCAATGCATTAATGACTGATGTGGATTTTTTTGTACTTTTACGCTGACTTTTTAACATGCTCGAACACTGTTGACAGGAGGGGGTGCTCAGGAACTGGATGGTTGGCATCTGCTAGAACACAGACTAGGCATAGACATATTACAATACAGAAGGGCGAAATTTCAGTGAATTGTGTACGTCTTGTAATAGCGTCGTTAGCATGCGTGCGTTACCGGCTCGTTTTTGTGGGGTACAATGAACTACCAGCATGCTTTCACCAGTGGCCAGAAATCAGTACTGTTATCCTGCTCTTTTGTCATATTTAAGTCCAGTGAATAAATTTCGATGATATTACTATTTATTAACATTTGTTTTGCTATGTTCAGAAATCTCCACTGACAAGATATACCATGATGAACACCACAGTGCCCCTCTGAGGATTTACTTTGATTGGAGTCATGACCTCAGAAAGGACTTTCGCCTGTCCAGAGAAACAGTGAACACCCTCACGCACCATCTCAACCTTCAGAAGCGCCATGGCTGGGGTCACCATCTGGAGGTGCTGATACTGGTGTACTGGTTGGCACATGGGCCAACATACAGTGTTGTTTCCCGTGCTTTTGGAGTGCCTAAAACCACAGTACACAGAGCAGTGCACAAAGTCTCAGGACAGCTGCTAAGCCTTTTGGGACAAATCATCTCCTTTCCCACAGTAGGAGAGCTGGATGCTGTGGGACAAGGGTTTGAGCAGTTGGTTGGCCACTGTGGTTTCAGGCGGTATGTGTGGGCAATTGATGGCTGCCACATACGGATTACAGCACCAAACACCCGGGATGCACAGGACTACTTCAACCGTAAACTGTTTCATTCCATTCAGCTTCAGGCAGTGTGTGACAGCAAGGGGAGATTTTTGAACATTTTTGTGGGATTCCCAGGGTCAGTACACGACACACGTGTGTTGAAATGCAGCCCGATGTACCTGAGTGCTGTTTACCCACCTCCAGGACACTTCATTTCAGGTGATGGTGGGTACCCCTGCCTGGAGCTTCCCATCAGCATACTCACCCCTTACCGTGAACCGCTGCAGAACAGGACACAGGAAAGGTTAAACCGCCATCACTCCAAGGCTCGCTCCATCATAGAGAGAGCTTTTGGAATGATGCAAACAAGGTGGAGGTGCTTATTATTTAAGGCTCTGGAGGTGGATCATTTATTTGTGCCCACAGTGATCACCTGCTGTGCTGTGCTGCACAATACGTGTCTCTCTGTTGGAGATACTGTGGAGGAAGAACTGCAAGCAGTCCAGGACACTGTGGAGCCCCAACCTGCGCCTGGCCCAGAACGGCATGAACTTGGTGGTGCAGCAAGTAGAGACAACCTTGCTGCCTTACTCTCTGCGCCAACCGGAATCCCTGGACACCTTCCTGAACACGACTACATGTAATTTCTGGTCCAAGAACTGCACTGCCCGCTGTCAATCTTTGCTATGTACACACTGCACTGTAAATACTTTACCTTAAAGATATTGCCGGCATGGTATTTATGTTACTTTTTCATTTTGTTGTTTATAAAATCAAGGACACCAAAAACAACTGTGGTTTTTAAACATATTGACTGAACCATAAAACTTCACACAGAACAACAAAAAAAAAAACTTAACCAAACGCATATCAACACCCTCCCAGGCCTTTTCACACCCTAGCCCCTCACCTTCATATTTCCCAGCCACCCATCCCCCCAGGCCTCTTCACCCCAACCGTGACAGCCACCCCCCAACCCCCCACCCCCCAAGCAGCAAGAGACAACACCATATGAAGTTACTGTGGCTGCTGCCTATCTGCTATCCTACTTAATATGTTAATTACTTCCTGGTTTTGTCGCTGCATTATTTGGAACCTTTCTTCATCTGTCCTTGACTCCTTCTCCAAAAGAGCAACCAGCTTGTCGACTCTCTTCCTCTTACGCGGGGTTGTTGTTCTGGGGGTGTCCTCAGTGCTGCTTGAGGGATGGGGGTGGGCGCCTGCCTCTGATGCTGTGGGGAGGGGTGGGTTGCTGCTCCATAAAGGGGTAGGGTTGGGTGGCTGGCTCTCCAGTTGCAGTTGAGGTGAGGGGGGGGGGGGGTGTGGCTCTGCCAGCTGTTGCAGAAGTAGGGGTAGGGGGGTGGCTGTCACCCCCCCCTGCCTGCAGGTCTGCTGATGGAGGAGGGGGGGGGGGCGGCTGGCTGTGGCTGGCTCCACTGACTCTGAGGGAGGGGTGGGGTGGTGGCTGCCTGTCTCTGCCTGGGAGGGCACAGCTCGCATGAAGGGGTCACTACCGCATGAGGCAATTAGGACAGGGGGAAAAATTGATGCCCTTGTCCCGATTGCCTCATGCATGGCAGAGAACCACCTCCATGAAGCGGCTGTGGCCTCTATAGCGCCTGTCCCTGTTCGTAGGTTTCTCAACTCCTACAACAATAACAACACTTTATTTTTATCTTGCATTTTCATAGTGTTCTCAAAGTACCTTCAAGCCAAAAAGACAACTGAAAGACATTCTTTAAAAATGGTGTTGGAATGCAAATCTTTACACATGTTATAAGTAATTGTAAAAATAAGGGGAAATAGGTAGTAGATAGTGCTACAAAGAAACATGATGAACTTTATAACTTTAAAAACCTCAGTTACGCATCACTACATTTTAAGAGCATACACACTGATGTACTGTGCATAACACCTGTTTTTTTAAGCCTCTTTAGATTGTAAGATACTACAAGATTAACTGTGTACTGCAGACTGCATAAAGTCAATTAATTTCTATGAAACAAACCTGTTCAAGTGATCAGTCCTAATCATACCTTTTTTTTTTTTTTTTTAATTTTCCCACTTCTTGGCTGCCTGTCCCTCGGTCACTTTCCTTTCCAGTTTAAGTTCTTTGATGAGTGGTCTTTTAACAAGACAAAAGAACCAGTTCACCAGAACTCCACACATACATTCAAGCCAATACCTAGCACCCCATCCTGGAATGTCCTTTGATTACAGATGGACCACTCAGA